GCTAAAATAAGCTTAATTACCTAAGCTTGTTACTCTACTCACCCATTAAGTGAATTATTTGCTTGGCTGAGTACTGTGTTTGTTTCTTCCCCTTCAGTCAACGGTTGTGCACTTGTTTTATCTTGTCCATTTTGTTCGTATGACAACAATCTGGATGAAACTCTAGCAAGACGAGCGCACACGGAGTATACTGTAAGTGTTGTCCTCCGACTAGCAGCTAAATACAGGAATTGCACCGACCTGTGATTGGAAGATAAAAATAGTATGTCATTGGCGATGACGTGACTATTTGTTACGTTAGCCGTTTCAAGAGTAACGGTTTTTATCACAGGAAAATACAATACAATATTAAATATTTCTCAAAGACAAACAGTGCAGTATTCTTTTGAAGTCGGCTGACTCGCTAAGAGTCAATGTCTTATCGAAGTTGAAGTTCAACTGTCGCAAATCGGATAACTTCACTGAGTGATTCTGAGATGAAACCTTTTGTCTGCATCCACATTGATCTTAGATTTTACCACTTACATATTGAAGAAAAGCCATACACAGAGCTTCTATGTCCACGTACACCCGACTGAACGTCGGTGCGATTCCTGCAGATACCGCTGTTCATACTAAATGCAGGAATTGCACCGGACGCGTTCTCGTCCCCAGAGTCACTCTAAGTTGTAACAAAAGAGCACGCGACCAAGAAAGACGGGCTCTGGGAACGAGAATACACCGGACGCTCATTGGTCGAATGCGCAACTTGGCATAAATGAAATAGCCGCGGGAAACTTCAATTGATTTTCTCGGGTTTTGCTTTTTGCTTGATAGGACAAGACTTAGGCCACTGGAAATAACACATCACTTGTATTCGAAGTTAAATTTTACTGAAGCAGGGGTTATAGGATCCTGACTAAAGGTCATCTAAACCTCGGGCTGATTGTTCTTTGCCTTTTTTTCTTTTACTGCTTGACTTTACAAGTGTAACATGCTCTCCTTGGTGAGTATATCGAATCTGAAATACCTCAGCAATGTAAAAGTAATGGTCACCAAAGTACAGCCTGGTTAAATCCCATCATGTCCTTTGGAAGAAACAAAAATCCCCTTTTCAGCAAACCGAACAATCATTGCGTTTCAGCACGCAGCTGCGAGGACCATTTGACCTGCCATAGGGGGTGAGTGGGTGGGGTTGAGTTTTCGCAGAAAAAAATCTGTGAAGAAACTAAAGACGAGTCAATGCTTGTTTTAAGCTAATAGAGTTACATGTCATGTTTACTCGCAGAATTTAGGGAAAAGGCGGTCCACCTGTAAGAGTTTGCTGAAATTACCCGTAGCTCTTGTATTTACACTTTGTGTACCTGTGGATAACATTTCTACATTGATTTATATTTTTTATTCATTTTTTTTTTTTTGGGGGGGGGGGGGGGGGGGGGGGGGNATTGAAAACAATACCACCGTTTAGTCTGTTAACAACATGAAGTGGACTCCTCGAGGGGTCAAAGAAAGTCTTTGGTACACTAAATTTTCTAATGAGCCGCCCTGTGCCTATTGTATAGGAATCCCCCCCGGCACACTAGCTACAAAGTTAAATAAAAAGTTATGTCACTTACACAGTTGTTCCCTGTGATTCCCTGGTACCTCTATCTTGTGTTCCCAATAGAAACTTTAGCATGATTCATTGCATGCCCTCTAACAACAGTATTAATTTTTTTAATACCGACCTTTGTCGCAAGACTATATTGAAAAGGGATCGATGTCTTGTCGCGGTTAAGCCTCCCCGCAGACGTCCTTTGGGGTTCGTTTGTCACGCATTCATTTCTCCCCCCACGGAATGCATGACAAACGAACCCCAAAGGACGTCTGCGGGGAGGCTAGTCGCGGTTTCAACGAAAAAAAACTCTGGGGACGAGAACGCGTCCGGTGCAATTCCTGCATTTAGTATGAACAGCGGTATCTGCAGGAATCGCACCGACGTTCAGTCGGGTGTACGTGGACATTGAAGCTCTGTTTATGGCTTTTCTTCAATATGTAAGTGGTAAAATCTAAGATCAATGTGGATGCAGAAGAAAGGTTTCATCTCAGAAACACTCAGTGAAGCTATCCGATTTGCGACAGTTGAACTTCAACTTCGATAAGACATTGACTCTTAGCGAGTCAGCCGACTTCAAAAGAATACTGCACTGTTTGTCTTTGAGAAATATTTAATATTATATTGTATTTTCCTGTGATAAAAACCGTTACTCTTGAAACGGCTAACGTAACGAATTGTCACGTCATCGCCACTGACATACTATTTTTATCTTCCAATCACAGGTCGGTGCAATTCCTGTATTTAGCTGCTAGTGTCCTCCGCAGCGCCGCCATTTTGAATGTAACACGAGGGGCTCTCACAGGGCGCCCAATATAATGTCGTAGCTGTCTGGAATTGTGGGAAGTTCGATCTGGGTACGAGCAAGTACGAGATTGGGTTTCGATTCAGGCTTTGATCGCCTTGCACAAAGTTGGTAAGTTTTGTATCATGTTAAGTAAGAGCTTGCATTTGTTTTGTCTTTTGAATAAAGAAGAGTAGACGGAGAGGTATATTGGGCAGCTAGAGGGAATCTTTGTCTGTTACAAACGTGAGACAAAACAAATAAGGAGACATCTTTAAACCCGTAAAAATGTCCAATTTCGAGTTTCTATTGTACACATCGTGTGTCAAATAAGAGTACACTATGTTCATTTGATGACTTGTTACTGTATTTAATATAAAACTTATACAATATTGTTCTAAGTAAGCTTGTTTCAAGCTCGTGACAATTTACATGAATTCAATTATTCCTTATTGCGTTTTATGATTTAAATCACTTTAAGACCAGTCTTATTGTGCAAACTAAAATCGTAGCATTGCACACGGCAGCATCAGACCTAACAAGAGATTCCCTCTTTTTTCAGGGTAGTAGCAATGATTTTTTTTCCAAATCGACCGGTACCCTAACCTCTCAGGTCTCCCACATCTTTTCCACATCCCCTTGCTTTCACATCACCATGGTGAGGTTATATGCGAAAGGACCAACTGGTAATTGGGTCATAATCTTTTTTGTACCCCGGTTTTTAAAGAACCATGACCATACCATGGTGATCCAGGGGAATGGTCCCCTGGGAAGAATTAACATGAAGGTTGTCTAAATCAGCTGGAAATGTGACTAAAACGATCAGAACTGTATCCTTTTAATTCTGGACCTCTCTAGGGCTACCTGCAGACATCATATTCATCGCGCATTTTCCATCAAAATGTTTAGTTTTTCAATGAAATCAATGCATGGTAATGCTGTTTGAGAAGGTCAATCAACCACATGACAACATTGATAATGGAAATGATAAAATAAAAAAAGCAAAAGCAAAGTAGAACTCTGAACGTGCAGCACACATTTTGGCAGATTTCTTTGCCCTCATCACATGACTAAGGATGATTGTTGGAAATACTCATATGGTACACATTTTAAGTTATTTCATGGTTTATAGTTTCAGAAAAACAGACACTTGCTCCTTGAATTGCCACTCTTTACTGGCTTCAATAGAACCATATTTACGTTTCAAACGGGTTTAACTAAAATGAAACCTCTGACACACAAGCTATTATCCAAACAGTAAAATACAGCAAAGGCAACACAGCACTTTAGTCTTCTGCTTACCATAAGCACCAGGGTTTTAGTCCACCAAATCAAGTGGCCTCTCTAGAGAAACTGGTCAACAGTGAACTCGAAAAACTGCAAATATGCCTACTGAAATCACCATTAGGAGCCCTCCTGTCCAACTTATTTACCTTGCCTTGTATTTTTGTGTTTATGTTTTTATCAAGTTCGGCATCTTTTCATAGGTGCATGTGTGCATGTGTGTACAGGTACCCATGCTTGAGAAGGCCTGGGGTGTATCCACATGTTTTTGTAGAGATGCCACCATGAGGGAGTTTGTACACCAAATTAAGGAGCAAAATTCAAAAGGGAGTTTCCCCCCTCTGAAAACCAGGCTCTAAAAATTAATGCTACCTCCGTGATATATTTGGTTAAAAAAAAGTAAGTAAAACAACCTAAGCATCAGATAAGCATTTTTTTATGTTGACGTTTTGAAGAAAAGCTTGTCAGTCCTCTGGTTGAAAATCCTTGATTTTTTATACTTTTTTTGCAAGATTTTTTTGACTGAGGAAGTTTCAGTGTTTTGACAGGAGGTGGGAGCTACCAGCCACACGTATTCTGCTCCTTACTGCACACAGTGCCTGCACCAGGGTTTGCAAATTTTATTGATGAGTGGAGTCACTGTGACTTCTGCTTCACAAATTTTGGAGTCATTTTAGAATATTTGGAGTCAAGTATCACAACGAAAAAAGGCATTTTTAGACTTTCCAGCACGTGGTCCTGGCATGTATACACTATTGTCAGGGATACACGAAGTACCTGTGGCGGTCCGCTGACCTGGAAAGCTCAAATCCATGATGGCGGTCATCGAGTAAACTTTGAATGTAATTTACCCTCTTTGTGTTTCGTTGTGCAGTATAATTCTTTAATCTTGATGATTTAATTAAGGTTTACAATGTTTACAATTAACGTAAATTGTATTTGTTGCAAAAAAGGTAAGGACAAAACTGTTTTTGTTACTGAAAATTTCTGGAGTCGAAGTGGCTCCCTGTTTGTTACCGAAAATTTCTGGAGTCGAAGTGACTCCCTCCGTAACCTCTGTGGAGTCATCTGAACAATATTGGCGTAAAATACGCCAAATTTGGCGTATTTGTGAACCCTGGCCTGCACTCTGCATGCATGAGATCTCGCCGAATTTTTCCATACTCCATAGACTGGCTTTAAGGACAACAAAGTGAGGTCTTCTTCTGTACCAGCATGAGCAAAACAATCCTACAACAAAACTAAATTTGAGAGAAACTGCTTAAAACTGCACCAACACTTTACTTACACAGCCTTTCGTTTTGTAACTTAATTAATATTTTACTTTTTTGTGATTTACATTAGCCAGAGTTTATCAGAATGAGTGGGCCTCCACCCCCAGGACAACACCCTCCACCACCCCCAGGACAAACCTATCCCCAGGTAAGAATCAAGTGTATTATTATTATAATAATATATGTTTTTTTGTGAATTTCTTTTACTTTTGCAATGTTGGTATCCTGCATATGTATTATCTCGAACAATTTGGATTTGAGTAGCCTGTGGCACAGATAAGATAATATTACCAGCACTCCAGAAATACTGTTCCAGTCAGTTCCAGAAGCACCCATACCCCCCTCCTTGTGCAAACCCATGGGCATTTTACTTTTTTAAAAAAATTTGGTCAACTTCCCTGCCATGTTGGCAGTTTAGATGGTCAATTGCCCCTCCAGCTGGTACTTCACCCACCATGTATAAAAGCGACTGTTTGAAAATTGTCCCAGTGGTTTATTCAAATCTAAATATCATACTAAAACCCAACTGAAATATCTAAAGGCTCTGAAAACTGTCTTACAGGGGTTTGAATATTTTCATTGAATCTTTCAGAATGCCCACATTTATTGGCTTTTTCAAAGGCTCTCAAATGCTCCAACAAAACAGTGAATATAGGAGTAATGAGCCATGAATGTGGTGCATATGCTTAATAAAAGAATTGTAAAATCCTAAAATGGAAAGTCAAATTTCTTACCAGGTGGTCCTCATTTTCAGTCACATTCCCCACTGTATGGGGCTAAACTCTAGTCAAATGCCCAGGGTCTACCTGGGGGAAGGAGAGAATAGGTAGTTTTGGAATTGACTGGGACATAATTCCTGTAAATAGATTTGTAGCATGTGCTGCATATGGATCCCACATGGATCTTAGTGGCCTAAAACTTCAGGTTCCCCCATACATATTTCTATTTAACTCATCGCCAATTGATGAGCTTGGGAACTGGTACCTAAAAGGTTAGCAGGGGAGGCCAACTGCGAAAAATACAGCAAGGAGGTAACCAGGCAACCCTGAAGTGGGAACCACCCCTTCCAGCAGCCGCTAACTGGCACTGTCACACTGAGACAATACTCAGTGGAAAAAATACTTACCCAAGTGAGATACTTACCGGCACACCCACGCATGACAGCAGGGAGGGAGGAGAGGGAGCAAGAATCCGCAAAGATTCGCCAACACAAAGCAAAAGGTGATCCGCAACAATCAGCTAGAATAGCTTGCAAAATGATGCAAAAGGATAGCCCTGAAAACCCAAAATGGGCCACCCCGCATGACATGCATGCTAATACAGGAACACTGCTGGCTGCATTGGCTCGATGTTAACTTAGCCTAAATAATATTTAGCCACATTAAAATGATTATGTATTTATATAACTTGGTTGGTGTCTGCAATGACATCATCAAGCAACAAACTTGGTCCATTCCCAGTGTTTTTCTGGCTATTTTGGCAATCAAGAAATGCTTTTGGCCCTGAATTTCTATGGCAGAAGTATTTTGCAAACAAAATCAAAGTAACTGTGACTGCTGGCTTTAAAATAGTAGTGAAAAGTGATATAAATGAACACTGTCAGGGCATCATTCTTCAGAAACAATTAGTTTGCTTCTGTAAGTGCATTTCAGTCAAGCCTTTTATTGCCAAAACCAACCTTTTCTCCCTGAAGTCTGCCTTTGAATTCATTGTGCACCAGGGCAAACCCACCATTAACTTGGCACTTTCCCCACTGATGGATCAAAGACTGGTTTCAGCTCTGTATGTTGGTCATTGAACCTGAGTTGAGTTTGCATTTGAACTTTTGGTGTTAGAAAAAAGTAGAAGATAAGAGACAAAGAAGTAGGAGTACTTAAAACTGGATATTTGCATCTATTTCAATTCTGTTGTGGCTTAACTAAGTGATGCTATACATACCATGTTTTGCATCTGTTGTTCTTGTTCCCCTCATTCACGTATTAACAATCATGCTTACCTTAGTTTGTATTCTTAATTGACTGCAGGGAGCTGTTCCACCCCCTTTTGGTCCTCCAGGGGCAGGATTCTATCCTGGTGGCCCCCCACCCTACACTTGCATACCCACTCCTGCACATGCTGCCTATCCGGTAGGTTTTCATATCCTTTATTACTCATGAAATAACCTTCATTTTCCCTTTCCAATCAAAATTAAAGCACTCCAACCTGTGACCATAATTATTGGTTTCCAAAAATTGGCTACTAAAATTGCAGCAAAGATTAAATCTCTAAGTCATGATACTCCTGGCATTCATGTTATTTACCTTTCACATAATAGCTAAGTGCCTTTTTTTCAGGTAGCTAATATCGTCTGGTGACCATTTTATAATTTTTGGTTGCCAAATGGAAACTTTCAAGGAAGTTGAATTCAGAGCATTGTTGCATCACTGTTTTTCAGGGTTCTTACACAATTGCACAAATTGTGTTCACAACTGCGAGGATCATTCGTCATTTGATTTACAGATTTATTAACTATTACAAGCAGTTAATATTTCATTTTCTAAGCATGCTTAGTTAAACAATTTTTAGCGAGTCTTTCCTAACATTTTTTCACATTATCTTGCAAGTTGAATCATAGAAGGATGTCACCACATGCAAAGTTTTGAAGTTGAAATAGCTCATTAACTATAACCTGAGCAACCTTTAGCTCTTTTGAATTTGTTAACTTGTCGATAAGCAATAATGAAAATGGAGGGTAGGTGCCAATTGTGAGCAATACGAGCAATAAGCAAATGAATGTGGGCAAAATGCCAATAAAGGGGGAGGGGGGTACCATGGCAGTCTCCATTGGTCACCTCCCCCTGGCACTTTTCACACTAATCTCTCAGTGGAGAATAAAGAACACAAAAGAACTTACCCTAAACCTGAACCTAGGTGTTTCAAAGAACCAAGAGGTGGGTGGGAGGGGCAGAACAAAAGGCAAAAAAGCAGCAAGGCAACTCAAAGCAAGCCACAAGGGCAAAACTATGTGGCAATGGCTTAAATGCGCATGCGCAGCTGCTGACAACAGGAAATCTCTCATGGTCATTGACAATCTCATTAAACTTGTCGATAAGCAGTAATGAAAATGGAGGTTAGGTGCCAATTGTGAGCGATACAAGCAATAGGCAAATGAATGTGGGCAAAGTGCAAGTAAAGGGGGGTTACCATGGCAACCTCCCACGGGTCACCTGCCATGAAAAGGAACTCCAAGCTAGATTGTGAGTGCTTTGAGAACGGAGGACCCGATATGAGGCAGCCATGGGGCCCAACCCTCCTAACAAAGAATTTCCAAGCGCAAGGTACCACCCTCCTGAAGCAAGGCAAAATGGCCAGGAAACATGAGTTGGCAAGATTGAAGGGCAATAGGCAACAGCTAAGGAAGCCAAGGCTTCCAACCGACATATGCAAACAGATGCTACCAAAACGCTAGCAGTGACAAAAAAGGCAGTTAGCAACACTAAATAAAAATACACTCACCAAACTAATCCACCATAGATTAGGCAGCGCAAGTAATGAGGTCGGGAGGAGTTCAAATACATTGTTTGTAAGCATTGCTTTTCCAACTGCCCAAAACTTGGATGAGGTGATCCAGAATACCAGCCCTTGCAGTAGAAGTGGCTGCCCCAATTCGGAAAGTGAGACTTGAAAAATCGCCAGGCAGACCAGCAGATAGAAAAATAGCTCTTAATCTGTCGGTAAGTAAAGAGCGAGATAAAGGAAGGCCATTCTCAAAAAGGAACAGGGGGCCAGGACGGTTACCCCGACACTCAAGGAAGGAGGCAGCTGCTTTAACTGCGCACAAAGGAGGAGAACTAGGCTCAATCAAAATGTTGCACCCTTTCCAGAACGGGTCAGTTTTAGAAGCTTTGATGCAGATCTGGAGGCAAGACAGATTAAGAGGAACATCCACAGCGATATCACACAGCGATATCAGATAGATGACGGCTATGGTTGAAGACTGAAAGGCTGGGGATGGTGAATTCTGCTGACCTCAAAAACCCAAAATAAGCCAGTAAACAGGCAGCCCAAAACATATGATCATCAAATGAGTTGAGGTCCAAAGCCGAATAAATTATGCAAAAAATGTTACTAGAAATTTGGTAGACGTGGGTTAGCAGGTAAAGAGCCCTGTGAACGCTTGATTCCTCTGACAACTCTTTGAAGCGAAAGGCAGTTCTCTAATGGGTTGGGGAATCCTTGATCCACATGAAGAGACCATACCGCAGATATATACACCTTAATAGAAGAGGACCGTGGAACGTGGCAAAAAAACACAGGGTCCATTCAGAGCCTGGACATGGAGAGCTGGAGGAGCTGACATGACCAATCGTGACACAGAAATTTATGAACTTTTGCTGAGCGCTAGAGTAGGTGCGGCAAGTTGAAGCAGCTAAGCCTTGGAACATGAAGGAAAGGCAGTGAGCTTCTATATCACTATGGAAAGCTGAGCTAAAAGCTGTGAAGAAATGAAGACTGGAGACTTCTTGGATCACGGTGCTTGAGAACGAAATCCTTGTAAATTGAAGCAAGACAAGGCATCAGCTATGCCGTTAGTTTTTCCTGGAACAAAACAGCCGCAAAGGTAAAAATGAGGTAAGCTGCTACTTTGAGTAAGCTACGCAGCAAGTGCATAATGTTTGGGTCTTTTGAAGTCCATGAATTGAGAATATGAACCACTGCTTCGTTATTGACGTGAAAGCTCACAGTCTCACAGTCCTTTCTCACCACACGGCCGAGCCTGACCTCATTAGCTAGATAGACATCAATCAGCCCTGTATGTTGGCAGGCCAACAATTTATTTTTCCTTGCTGATTTAAGAGTTACTAGTTTATCCCAACCAAGTCTAAAGCCTTCCTTGATACCCTGAAGAACGAAGTTAACCTTTGCCCTATCAGGATGGCTACTTTATTCAGCCTCAAATAACTCAACATTAAGTGGAGTGACTTCCCCAACAGCTGGCTACATCATAGATGAGCCTAGGACAAAAATAGTAAGAACAACAATGTGATGATAGTAAACTCAATTTTCACCAAATGTATTGAACAAGCTAAACCCAACAACAAGACAGATTCAAATGTGAATAAAAAAGACAAGTGAAAAGCCCATTTTAAACAAAGGCACAACAATTAATGGCATTTGTGGCACTTTGGTTCCTCAGGATCCAGAGAGTGAGGAAGAGTTGATTGCAAAGAAGTACAAGAAGTAGCTCGATGATCACCACCACACCTGCTACATGCATGGCGGAATCGACAGTTAGGATTGACAGCGATGCAGTGACCTGCATTCCAAGAATGGCAAATAACTTTACTAGTAGTGCTACCAGAAGCCTCTGCCTGGAAGGTGACTGGATTGGCTGAAGCTGAGCGAGTACGAACTTGAGCGCCAGCTGTATGGTAGTTGAATAGCTGGACATTCATCGCGGACAAGTCAGTGAGCTTTACCGCGGCTGTGGCTGCCTGAAAGCCGGTCATAGTTTAACCAACAAAAACTGCTAAACTGACGATATGTTCATAAAATTAATAGCTTGTAGCTTGTCAAATCTCTCCATCAATGTGAAAAATAGCAGCAAAGAATAAGATAAAAATGGAAAAGGCCTCCATCCATGAAGTAATGTCAGAAATGTGACGCGTAGGCTTCTTGGGCGTGTGCTACAAAACCAAGCTGGCCGTCGAACCAGAGTTGCAGTTCGGGCTCATTGGGAGGAATGTTTTCAGCCAACAAATCTTCCAAATTGACACATTTTCCTGAAGTGATTTGAGAGACACCCTTACAAGCAACTGGCGAGTAGCCGGGGCTGACCACGAACGGTTGCTGAAGGGGCAAGGCTGCCAACGAAGGAACCACAGTTTGACTTACAATTGGGCGCAAAGCAAAGGCAGAATTGACTGTAGTGGGTAGTCTGGGTAGGCTATAAACGTTGGACGAAGAAAGTGCGGAGAACGGCAAACTAGCAAAGGAAAACACAGATAAAAAAGGTGGAACAGCAATAAATGAGGACGTACCTGGCAAAGCGTTTAACTGCGAAGCGACTGGTGGAGAAGTGAAAGTGATTGCAGTATTCAGAGGCAGGGACCCAACAGCAGTTGATGGCTGAGATGCCGAAGAAGAAGACCAAGGTTGGTGTATGCCAATGGCGTCCAAATGTGCCGTGTGATTGACCAAAGATGACTCCGACAACCCTTGAACAGAAATGACGGGAAGGCCTTGCATTGAAATGGAAGGAGCGCCAACTGCGGCAGATAACCACTGCTGTACTGTGGCCGAAATTGGCGTCTGATTGGCCTGAATTACCAAAACTAAAAATTCCGGCGAAATTGAAGCAGAAGCCAAGGTACCAGACACTAGAGCAGGTGCTGAAGCAACTGTTGGCGAACTATTTCTCGTACGATTAGGCAGCATGGCGAATGATGAAGGCAGTGGACCAAACAGACACAAAAAGATAAGGCAAAGGGGCCCAACACTTGACAATCGAATAATCCGGCGAATTGAAGCCAAATAGATGAACAACAGGCAAAAAAGCAGCAAGGCAACTCCAAGCAAGCCACAAGGGCAAAACTACGTAGCAATGGCTTGAATGCGCATGCGCAACGTGATCACCTGGTGACAATAGGAAATCTCCCAGTTAACTATGATTATTGATAATCTCGTTAAAAAATTGCAAAATTGCTGGGATGGAAAAAAGTTAACAAGCTGGAAAATTTTGTAGTTTTTGAAAGAGAATTTCTTCTTACCTTTTCAAATATCAGCATGTAAGTGTTCGTATACCCTAAGAGGATGTAACAAGACCACTTTTATTCAGTTTACCACTTTTTGTAAAACTTTCCTTGTTATTGAGGCAAGGTACTGCAGAATCTTTTTTCAGATTATCCCTGAATCAGTAACTCCTTTTATTTTAGAACAATTAGGGAGCTTAATTTTAACACAAAATTTATCTGTTCAGTAAGTGCCTTAGAAGACAATAACAGTATATATTAGAGTTAAATTACTAAATTTCATTTGCATCTTTAGTGTTTATATTGCAGTCAATTTTTCCTTTGTTTCATATTCATTGGCATACATTACAATACCCAAAATTAATGGAAAAATAAACGTTCACTTAGATAAAAAAATTCACTACTTTATTGCATTTCATCTCATAGTTTAAATTTTAGTTAATTTTAAGACTTTATTTATTTTTTTTTTTGTACCAATACATGACCCCTCAAGCGTATTATTTGCTTTAATTGCCTCTGGTGTTAAAATAGAGGGTCTACTACAACTATTACTGCACCTTCAACTACTACCACTGCTGTTACTGCTACAACAACTAAAAAATGGTTTGTGATTTTTGTTCCAGCCAGCATATGTCCCTCCTCCAGCTGGTTTTTACCCTGGTCCACCAGGGGGAGCTTTTCCTCCCCCTACTGGAGTTCCCCAGGGACCACTCCCACCTGGACCACCACCGTCACATGCAGGCCCCTTTCCTCGAGGGTTCCACCCTCATGTTGGACCTGGGCCTTTTCCACCCCACCCAGGACATCACACTGGATTTGCCCATCCCTACCCTGCAGGATCATATTCTGGTGGCCACACACATGTGGTGAGTAATATCAATAACCAAATAGAAGAATCAAAATAATCTAACTGAAAACAAGGTCATTTTGTGACTCGTTTTAAAAATACAGATAGCTCTAACTTAAAACTTAAGATGGTTATCTTTAGTCAAATTTTGGTTTGTCCTGTCGCTCTATTTCTGTCAGTTTTGAAATTTTCAATAAGTATAATTCGTAAGGTGCCAGTTTTTTTTAATGGTTTTTACCAAATTGTGACAGTTAGTACAATTACTAACACCACTATTCAAACATCAACTGATTAATAAGAGCTGTTGATTTATTCATTTATCTGGGAAGTGTAGGAAAGACGACAGTTGTTTGTTTTAGAAATACCTGCTTTATTTACATAAGAGTTGGCCTTTCAAAGTGTTATGTATTTCGGACTGCAACTTTTAGCTAGAATTAAAAAGTATTATTTACAATAACTGAGCGATTTCTCGCATGCTGATTGGTCGAGAGCTATGGTCGATTAGAGTACAGACCATGGAAATGACATGATGGTGGTACAATTTGTCTTTCTCTTTCTTGTGCACACAATTTTCCCGGAAACTTCAATGCAAAAACAGAAATGGGTGTCAAAAACGGTCAGTGTTATATACCATTTTCATCTGATGTCGCATCGGCCATATTGGTGTACTTAAGCAATAGACCACACTTTCTGTGGGTTTACCGGCGTGATAACCCACGCGGGATGTTGGGAGAACATGAGAAAAGCTGTCTTCTCTCTAACGTCACCATAAGCCCATCATGACTCACGATTTAAAAGCGCAGAACTTTCTCAAAACTCAGGTCAGTCAAACAACAAACAGCAGCACTTCAAAACACAAGTTTTTGCACTCATTACATGATAAGTTATGAAAGCTGTTTTTCAGGGAAAGTCAACACATATTCGTGCTAAGGTACATTGAAGTTTGTTTACTACAAAAGTAGAAAATTGAACGTCAAACTGTACGCAGCTGTATTTTGTTGAGTCGATCCGTAAACATTTCGTGCTTACAGACGAAACTGGCAGCTGTTGTAATGGAGGACTTCATTCACCTTTTACAAGCTGCAGTGGTTTAAGATCTGTTTTCTGGATTTATCATGATCAAGAAATGTTGCGGTAACGACGTAGCTGCATTTGCGAAGTTGTCGCATGCATGTAACGTATGTATGTACAGCGACCGATGGAAATGTGTCAGTGGTAGCTCTAAATCTGGAGAAAGGTTTCTTTGCCGTAGCCACATATTAGCGTTAATATTTGTCGATTTGTGAAGTCAGGTGGTTTGAAGTAGGTTATGGCATCGATATTACCGAATAATTTGTGCAAATGTTGGAAAAAAACCAACGCGAAACTCTGACATCTTTCATCATCGTTTACAGCTTGTTTACAATCTACAGCGGGCGATTTTGTACCATAACTTGATCAGATATCTCTTTTCGGAACAATTTCTTTCATTCAGGAATTTAATTTTGACATAAAATAAATCAAGAATGCTAAAACTATCCGTTTTGTTGCTGGCTGGCACATGGTTAAACTTTCTTAAAGACTTTCTACACCAGAAATTCACACAGTTGTTGTGTTTCTCTGCGATTTGGCATCGTCGTTAAATGTAAACTGCTTTCCAGCTTTGTACTTTATAACTTTTAAAGCTATGGCAGTAGCGAATTGTGATGCTCTGTAATAAAATGTGGAAGCCAACACTTTTTAATATTAAGAAGGGCTAGGTAAGTAACTTGTTCTGTTTTTTATTCTTTCTAAAATCGTTGTTTGCAGATCAATAGCCCGTTTTGTTTATGGCTCGTGTTCTGGGTGCCTTTTTCTATGGGTTTACCGGTATAATAAACCATGGGTTTTTGACCAATCAGATCGCGCGTACTATCTCAGTTATTTTATAAAAAGCAATGAAGTGGCAACAATGCTGGTGTACCAAAAATCCAGCAGGAATTGAACTCTTATCTCATGTTAAAAATTTTTTTTGTCCCGAGAGATTTGCATAGCCACTGACCACGAAAACAATCTATTGTAAAAGCAATTTCCTATGGCCTCCACTCTTATTGTCCAAAGAAACGACATCAAAATGTTCAAAATTCAAGTGGGACCATAAGCTGCAGGTGAGCAGTTTCACTGCAAAGTTTTGAATATTTTGATGTCATTTTTTGGATAATAAGAGTATAGACTATGGACCATTTTTGTCCATTTGTTGATTTTTCTTTCATCACAGGATGTGGAAAGCGATGACAGTGACCCATCTGAATATCGTAAGTTGTAAGATACATAAGTAGCCTGGTAAATAGACTGGGTTTTACTGAGCCAGTTTGCAAAATAAACTGAATTGTGCAACTTTACAAACCTAAAAATATCTTAAGGTTAAAAAAAAGAGAAAATATAATAACATTACTAAATCACTACGTTGTAATTAAAAAATTTAAAATGTAAACTGCAAGTCATGAATACATTGCCATAAAACTACTCTTGTTGATAAAAGTGTCCGCAAATCTCTTTGTTTTAGTTTTGCGTAGGTCGAAGATCTTCTGTCTCCTTAAATTATAAGTTGGCCCGTTGCACTTTTTAGGTAACAAATTATGCAACTAATTTGAAAAGGGGCTTGGTTATTTGTTCTTGATGGACTCTCATGCAGTCGATACCGGCGAGACTTAAAGCGTCCTTGTAAGAAACTCCAGGGACGATACACGAGAGGGCCCTCTTTTGCACTCTCTCAAGTTTGCCTTGCAGGTGCTTTAGTAACGCATAGTGGAAAACTGGGCATGAATAATCTACCGAAGATCTAATACAGGTGCAGTAGTATGCTACGAGATCTTCAGAAGGAACCTGCGCACGTTTCAGTTGAACCAGAAAGTAGTGTTTTCTAGATGCTTACGTTGCTATTTCCTCAATGTGGTCATTCTAAGTTAAGTTACCATTGAGCGTAACTCCAAGTAGCTTTGCGCACTGAACTGACCCGATAGATTTTCTGCCAATACATGCCCTTGGGAACAGAGGGCGTTGATGACTGAAACTGATTGTGAGTTCCTTTGTCTTGTCAAGCTTTACCTCAAACAGATTTGTCTTCGACCTGTCGTGTATTAGGTCCACTAGATCTTGAGCCTTGCGCTGCTGGCCTTTGGGTATAGTCTCCGATACCGTGGTATCGTCAGCTATTTCCGCATGTTGAAAATGCCGGAGGAAAAGCCCAGGGTCCGACTTGGTCCCCTGGGGCACTCCAGATGGTTCTTTACCCACTCAGACAGTCGTTGTTGAGTTTGACTCTCTGGGATCTGTCTGAAAGGAAGTCAATAACCCAATTTATGATACTGTTAGGAACGTTGATCTGTTTTAGTTTCGTGATTAAGATACTGTGATCTATAAGATCAAAAGCTCTGCGGTAGTCAAAAAGAAATACTCGCACTGTCGCACCGTTGCCATCTGTAGCTTCAAGCCACTTGTGCACCATACTAATAAGTGCCAGCACGGTGGAAGAAACAGGTATGATGCCAAACTGGTTAGGGTCGACCACATCCTCCAATGCCAGTTTGATGTAGTCGGAGACTACAAAGTCCTCAGCAATTTTAGAGAGGGCTGAAGTGGCAAATGAAGTTTTTTCGATATCTTAGGCCATGGGAACTAAACATTGCTGTTTTATACTCCCACTAAACGGTAAGACATTTGTTTGATAGGGAACAATGATTGTAATGATTTTTTTATTCTGTATTTGTTAGCCCTGTATTCAAAAGAAGACAAGCATCCAATGGAAGTGACATTCATCAACAAGACAGATAAGAAAGTACAGGTATTCTGGATCAATAAGAAAGGAAGACGAAAGAGGAAAGGGAAGATAAAACATGGGCATTCAAAGACCATCGATACCTATGAGACCCATATCTTCATGGCTTTCAACAAGAAACTGAGCCGTGAGCCACTGTTGATTAACGGCAGCCCAGTGTTTTATGCCTTTCCACACAACCATGGTGACAAACATGTAAATGTAGAAATAAAGAAACCAACAGGTTAGAATTCACACTCGTGTTAGTGCAGCCATAGTATTAACCTTGTCTTCACACCTGATACACCCTACAGATTTTTGTGCGATTTGTTATAGCAATAAAGCAGTTTATATTTCATCGGTACAATCCACCAAATTATGAACAATAATGTGAACATTTTTGTCAACAGGCCAGGGACACATTAATTCACAAAAAGGAAAACAGGGAAAAGAAGCAACCAGAAAGAGTCCTGAAAGTCAAGCTTGCTCTGTAGTCTCTTTCTATGCCTTTACAAACAAGAAAAGTTGTTTAAATTGCACTGTAAATGAAGCAAGGATAGATTTCATCCCAACCTTAGCCGTTTATACTGAATAACGATCATCATCATCATCGTTGTTATTCGTACTATTCTGGTATTTCAGACTAAAAAAGATAACATATAGAGAAATGCAGAGGACAAAATATAGATTTTATAACTAGAACATATTTAATTTTTAAATCAGTTTACATCAGCCTAAAATGCAAAGTGGGGAAGCTTTCAAGTTGGCCACGACCTCTTTGCAAATGGGGAGAGGAACAAAGGAAGAAGCAATAATTATGATTACATTTATTGGTGAGGGAAGCGTATAGCAGTCTGTATCATATCAGGGGAAAAATGTATCGATGCAGCCCTAGTGGTTTTAAAGTGATTAATAACTGTTCTTTTCTATGCCATGGTGTCTCACAATAGAGTTAATTTTCTTCAAACAAGTTGTTGAAATAACATAATCATTATTACAAATATTAAATCTACAGCAAGTTCCTTGGACAGGCTGAGATCAGACGTTCATGTTACAACCCCAGTAGAGGTGAAGTTTATTAACCGTTCAAGGCGCGAAGTTCAGTTGGAGTGGGTAAACCCTCAGGGTCACCGTGAGAAAAAGAAATTGCTCCAAAAGGGGAGATGCTGGCGGACCTCAACTTGGGAAGGTCACTGCTGGGTTTGCTGTGATCCTAAACACAGCAACCATTTATTTGCATTGAATTATGCCCTGCATTACAGGGTGCAGAAGACCAGGAGACTGAGAGAGAGAGTTGTGATTACTGCAGGTATTGTAAAAATTGTGTCATTCAATGTGTCAAACTCTGCAGAACGGTAAAATTTCCGGATCCTCCTTTTTCCCCAGGGTCACATTAATTTTGTTGTTTAGATACTATGGGACCCGACAGTAAGGAAAACAAAGACAGTGTCCATGTCAATAGAGACCTTAAGATAAACCGTCTCCTTGTACGGGACAGGTAAATTACCTGTACCCATAGCCATAACCACGGGTAGATTGCCTCTTACCCCAAAGAAACGGGTAGGCAACCGAGTAGAAGGGTAACGCCATTATCATATCTGGAAAATCGTGGTTGCCTCTAATATAACTACGTGGCAAACATGTTCGCCTACCCTTGCCCATGGACTGAAACGGTGCATCTTAAGGTCACTAATAAGAGTCCTTATTGAACGGATCAACATTACAATGGAAAATTTTGTTGAAACAAATAAAACAGTGTGTTCAATACTTTTACTTCTAATCAAATAGACGGTTACTTACCTGTTACAAAATGTTTCCAGAGTATATGGTTGAAACATAAATAAAACACAATTGTTGAGACATTTCCAAAAAAACTGAACGTTTAAACAAAGAGTAATCTTGTTTTCTTGTTTTGGTAAATGGGCCTGATTTGTGCAAATGGAAAACACATTTTTGGACTGGACTAACCAATCCTAAATTTTGTGTTACATTTCCCAAGGGAAGGAATAACTGAGTGAATCAAGTTCCATTTAGGGTCATTATACTTGGGAAACTGACTTTATACACTCATGCAGTTTTCTAACCCTATTCACTAAACTTCAGAGTCATTAGGCGTTCTAGATTAGTCCATATGGGTAGTCCCTGGACTGGGGGTCAGTGTTTTGTCCACCACCATAAGTATTATTTCCTATGTTTTTGTCTCATTGTTTTCTTTTTTTGTTTCAGATATGAACATTTCTGGAAGTAGCAGTAGTAGCAGTAGTAGCAGTGATTAGTTTTATTAGAAAGTAATAGTGGAGTCAAAATGTAGTGTGCTTTGCCACGTCCGTGTTGAAAATGACATTTATGAATGAAAAGGTTGAATTAAGTACACTAGGGTGCGGATTCAGTAATGACCAGAAAATGCACTAAAAATTGTAAAACTGCCAAAGGATTGCATAAATATTCATAGAATTGCCAGTTATTAACACGCCTTTTCCCACATTTGATGCATTAAGTTTTAACAGAATGCTGATCAATGAAATATTACTTTTCAAAACTGGCCCAGACCATGAACCTTAGGGACACACTGTTTATGGTACAGATGAATCGGTGATTTTGGAAACTATGATAGTAACAATACCTGATATCAGGCGGAATATGTTTCACTCCCACTTGTTATTCAACAATATATAAATTTAGCCAAGACTAAAGGCGAAGCTTCCTTTAATAAATTAATAATTTATGTAGTATGGTAGGGATATTTTACTCCGTTTGTTTGTGGTGGAATGTTATTAATTTGCCGTGGAATACATTAACGCCGATGACGTCATAGCCGCTTGCTTTATCTCATGAGTAAAATGCGGTGGAATCTCATTTAGTCTCTGTACAGAGGGGAGGGGGCGGCTGTACGCAGGCTGAATCTCCTTATGATAACGTCATGTGCTATTTTCAGGTGGTTTAACTGGTCTGACATGTAGGGTCGATTTGGGGTCGATATGGTGGAGGGAAAATCAAAATTTTACAAATAAAATGAAAAGGGGAAATGAATTAATTGTGGAGGAGTAGGAGGGGAGTGGGGTAAGTAAAACATTGTCTTTCGTGCTAAAAAAAAGCTAGTTTGCCTTCGCCCTTATTAATGTGCACGCTTTGCCCGCCAAGAACCAGTGAACTAGAACAATAACAGCGATGGAAAATAGGACGTGCATAGTTAAGTTACGACTTTGTGATTGTGAGTTAGAGGCGAGTTTGAGTTTATTCCTCAGACACCATCAATTAACCAACGAAAATGTTTCTTATTTTCTAATCAACCAATCGAAGACCAAGACATTTACCGACCTTTAAGTAACTGTCCTTATCTTAATGAGATTCCACCGCATTTGATTCATGACATAAAAACAAAAGAATAAGTTTTTACCCCCATTTCAACAATCGAACTGTCGAACTATTTTGTATGCTCAACACTGCTTTATGATTTAAGGTAACCGTTAGCGTATAAAAAATGGCGGTCTCAATTTTGTGGCTTAGAGATAATAAAGGGAAACTTTCCTCGCCGGCGTAAAGGCTAAAGGTCTGGGTAGTCACACTTGAAGGAATAGACGAGAGGGCCTGTTCCCTTTCACTTACGCTTACATGAAATTTGTAAGTCTTTTTCTAAGTTCTATCAAATTTCTGTTCAAGCAATTTCATGAAAGTCTGTCTCTGCAATTTAAAACAAGAAAAAGAAGACAAAGTGCAACAAGCGGCTTTCGAAGCCGGGACACTGGGTCCACAGTCCATCTTCCTACCCGCTAGACCACAGGGGATTTGTGAGCCTGAAATTCAGACGATTACTTCGAGTCGTTTTCTCCTCTCAGTAACTGAGGGAGTAAAAACGACTCGCAGTAATCGTCTGAAATTCAGGCTCTGTATTTGCTGCCAGTGAATATTTTAATTCACATGTTTATAGTGACAACCCTAACAGTAAATGAAAACTAACCATTTCGAGTCAGAGCCTAACCCTAATCACTATTATCTTAACCCTAATCACTATAGTGATTGTTTAGCTCTAATCAGAGCTAATCAGAGCGCACTACTAATATATAGATTTAGCCAGGGCTAAAAGCGAAGCTCTCGTTAATACGTGTAAACAAAAAATTAAATGGTGTAATGCTAAACGGGGACGACAATGGAAATGGCTTCAAGACAAATAGATCTAATTAGCAAAAAAACAAATTGCACGTGCAGCACACTTTTTCTTCTAATTAGCAAAAAACAAATTTGCACGTGCAGCACGTTTTCTTGTCTTTCCCTTGCCATTGTTTTGCACGACTACAACGTTGTTTTGTACGACTAAAACGTCAAACTTTCTAGTTACACATTATTTTTATTAGAGGAATTGTCGTATATGCTTACCTAATAATTTGTTTCCTGTGTTCATGTTCGCTTTTATTTCTCACTGCCGCTCATTTTCACCTTGCTGGCCGCTAGCATTTCTCATTTTCTGACCACCGTTTTGAATTTCCATGTTTTTCTTCCTACGAAATTCGTCTCCTTTGTTTTCAGTAACTCAATCTAGCTCTTTCTCTGTTATCCACGTTAGTGTAAACATAAAAAATAACGCCGAAAAAGACCCGACTTTGTTGTTCTTTTTTCTTTCTAAAAGTCCGGGTGGGCCATGTGATTTCCTTCCAAATAAAACCTTGAGTTGCATTTAGGTTGCCATACCTGTTGATTGAGTCATTTTACATTGGTATGCCTGTGGTGCGGACGGACGGTCGGTCGGTCGGTGTACGGTCACGTGATTACCAAATTTTCTTGGATGGGTAGACTACCACATTTCGTTAGCTATGGGGCTCCGCCGCGCATGGAGATTCGCTATTACGGTGCATTGTGGATGCAAAATTTTCAGGGTGGCGGCGAGGGTCGAGAAATTTCGCAGGTTATATGCTCTGCTTTTTAATAGATACAGTTATTTCCTTAGATCGTTTTTCTCGATTTCATAAGCTAATATTTGTTTAGATTTTTTCTGTGAAGAAAAACAAATCAATATTCCTCATTTTAATCTAAAACGTGGAGCACGAAGATTCCTCCTGTAAGAGCATGAAATTTGAACCCGGTTTTGAAGAAGCTATAATTTCCATTGTATTACCCGTTGAAAGTTGAAGATAGTTTAAGTGTTGCTACAAACCTTGTTGTACGCCAAGATATAAATGTGCCCCACGTTTTGTGATACTTTTTTCGAATTGAAACCGGCATGTTTTAATGGGAAAATGTAGCCTCGCGAAGACGAATGTGACATGTTACTGGAAGTGTTACTATTGTAATTACAAGCTAATAGGGACTTTAGGATCCAACAACGCGACGGCGACAAGAACGTCGCTTAAAAAGTGAATTTGCGTTCTTTCAGTCTTTATAGCGATTATTTCTAACCACTTACTTTGTCAAATGTAGGCGAAACCTCCTGAAGCTGAATTTCAAGGGACCATATTCAAGCTCGGAAAGAGAAATAAAATTGCGTCGTTGCTTGTGCGAAGTTGTTGTTTTGCTTATTAAACCTATTGTTTTTTTTTTGCCGTTGTCGTTGCCGTCCGCGTCGTTGGATCTTAAAGTCCCTAATCACAAAACAGCGGAACAGCGGCGACTGGTTCCTCCAAACAATAGTGTTAGGTGAGCATAAAATGTTTGAAATTGGCTTATACATAAGCTGATGAGTTCTCTGATGTAGGAATGTCTGTTTTTGTAATAGGACTAAAAAACAATAAAATTGCGGTCATACATGTGATTCTCTTTATGCAGGTATAAAATCAGTAGGATAAGAATTACTGACGTTAAATTAAATGATGAGTTTGATTATACAGTTAAGCCCTGTGTATTTTGAAACTAGCCATCCTCTATGAAAAAATGTTTTTGGGATAATTGCAAGGATAGTGCAGTGTAGCAGAAGAATTTCATAACATCCACCAACGCTTGCACTTTACTTTATTCAGAGAAATATACACATCACTCTTGAGAAAACAAAATCATGATCTACTTCCAAGCCTAGTGTGTGTTGTTGTGTGGATGTTATGACTATGTCAGTCTCAGGGTATCATGAATTTGATTACTGATTTGACACAAATGATCAGATTTTGAATACCACTTAAGATACCTAGCTATCGTAGTGCACACACCATCTGACTGTAGTCCTATCAAAGCAATAACCTCGTATAGGCATCACTAGGTGTCCGATGGCCCTCTCTTCTATCCCTTCAAGTGTTTCCCAAAGGTCTGCGAGCTTTCGTTCCACGCAGAAATATCTGCTTTTTGATATTTTATATCAAATCATTATAGTTGGGTTACTACGTGTTCAATATACTACAAATTTACCCTCGAATAAAACGGGTTTGTGGTGTATTATTTGCCTGTTTTCAGCTTTGTTGACTCCCGAAATGCCGGACACCTCTGGACTCTCTGGACTAACAGGAGAGCAGCCTGGACTCCTTCCATCATCAAGTTCCTTTCCCACCCCAGCCCCGTCAATTAACGTAGAAAGATGTCAGAGTATGAGAAAGATGATTTTTAAGTCGGTGACGCAGGTGGCTCAGTTTAATGGCCTTAACTCCCACGAGTCACCTGTTGCCCAATATTTCAACTCCACAGACAACGGTATTTCTGATGTCCAGGTGCGTTGTGTGGCTCAGTGCAGTCAGCTAACATTCAACGAAGGCAGTGTGAGATGCGGTTGATTTTCCAACTAGGCACCGTTCAGCCGAGAGGAATGACTATCAATTTCAGTTTCATTTGAACCGTGGCGTATTAAATACGCTTGAAAATGTCTACAAAGAACTGGAAATTAAGCACATAAGTGTCAAGAACACCAAAAGACAATTACGGATAAGCTAATTGAGACATGATCCACAGAAGAACAACTTAAGGCTAATCAACAAGCGTTAGAGTCGATTTTTTAAAATGCAGCGAGAATTTAGCCAATTGTCAAAAAGCGTGCAACTTCGAAAAATCGTCGCTTAAGCACGATGCGCTCGAAGCTATGACAACTTATGACCACACCCGTAACCAAAATGGCAGACGTTTTAGGTTCGCAAAAGATCGCTAGTCACGGACTCGAAAAATTATCAGTGCCAACATGGGACGAAAATGAAAAATCTTACGCAACTTGGAAGAGAGAAATTAACTATTGCACGTATAGGTACAAACAGAACGAGGAAGAATAGCGGGAAAGACTGGGAAAAGCGTTACGAAAAAACTCTTTCTGTTCGGATCAATTGCGGCCAAGTAAGGCAAACGGACAGGCGTGGAAAATCCTTGATACTGAATTTGGAGATCAAAGGAAAGGGTAGTCCAGGCCGGTCCTCCTTTATGGGTCCATCCTCGGTTACCAGGGAAATCATCCTTGGCGGGCCCACCTTTAGGAACACCCTTAGTCCAAAGAGCATTGTGTTTCGACAAGTCCACCCTTTGCCCCAAGGGTAGGCATAAATAGATTGTGCTCGGCAACTTTTGAGCAACTTTTAGCGTTTTCAGCAGCCTTTTGTACTGCGAGCAACCTAGAGCAACTTTTGTCTTCCTTGGCAACTTTTGAGTCAACAAATAGTCAAAAACTGACCAAACCAATGCTTACCAATGTTTCCTCTCTCAGCCTTCTAAAATGACGCAAAAACTTAGGGGGTAGTCAAAATTAGATGCCATTTTTTTCATATTTCCAATAATATCAGCCATCACAATCTTATCGGATAGAGAACAAACGGAAGTTTGAAGGAGATTGGCTGACCATCATCCATGGCTCCTGCCCGGTCCTTACTGACAGTGACAATTGAATGTTAATCATCGTTGAGATAGGACGCCACAGCCAGTAGGGTTCGGCACATGCTCCCGACATATAACTGTAGGCTTAAGGCTAAGTTATTTAAAAAACATTAAACAGCCTCTCTTCTCTCCTAATAACTAAACAAAACAGAAGAGAGCGAATCAACATACCAAAGGGAGCAAAATCGACAAACGCGAGGAGGGCATATCGACACACATGAGGGCATATCAACACTTGAGAGGGTATATCAAGAAACATGAGGGCATATAAACACTTGAAGGGGCAAATCCACCAGACTGTAAATGTTTTTGCCACCACTCTAAACAATCATCCAAACATTATTGCCATCATCAATTTGACCATATGAGAATCGTTTAAAGAATTTTCATTTTCACATCGCCAAAATATAATCCTGGTCTAAAGTGACAAAAAATTGAAATTTCCACCTAAATTCATAGACTAAACCCTTTGAAAAATTCCAAGATGGCGGCCGAAGAAGTTTCAAATCTTCAAGTTTAATGAAAATGACCTAAGTACGAGCCTAATATACACCCGACATAATTTCCATCTTCATTTTGCCATACCAAAATTTAAACAAAGTACTCTATTCACTAAAGGGTGAATTGTGCCCAAAAAAACACCCTAGCAGATTTCCAGATTGAATAACCCCAATCGCTCAAGTAAATATCAAAATTTGAAAGGATTAACCCTTACCAGAGTATTTTTTTGTCCATTTCTACCAAAATAAAATCTAAAGAAGGTATAAAATTTAAGGCAATTCACCATAAAAGGGTGAAAAATGTCAACGAATCAAACAAATGAAAAAGGGTCAATTGTGTAAAAAAAAAAC